CGACACAAGTGTCCGGCGGCCAAAAGCAGGAAGGAAACAGCAGCCCCAATAGCGACATTACGTTGAGCCTCCGCCTACCCCTAGAAGATCCGTACGCTTTTTCAAGCATTCCTGATCCTTATGCCACCACCAGTTGCTACAGTGACAACAACAATAGCTCATCTGCAGCACTAACTGGGGCCTCATTCGTACAGCCAGCTGAGCCAGTCTCCGGGATCAGTGCAACTGCGCCCCTGTCACCTCCATCTGAAACCTATTTAGGGGCATCCAGTAACGTGCCATTTCTTTTGCCCCCTTCCATGTCACACAAAGGGCTGAATCATGCAAATGGGCAATCAGGGAGACCCAGCTCGTCGTCTTATGTCTACCCTCCACTGCCAGCGGCACCGCCACCTAGGGAACGGGATCACTGGTTACCACCCGAAGCTCATCAAATACGCCAGAGGCTCCGGGGTAGGCCTCGATCTGAAGGCATGGCATCTCAAGGAGCCTTGGGGGCTCCGCCACCTTTTCCCTTTGCCGCGCACTACTACTACCCGCCTCAGCAGCATCAGCAACAGCACCCGCACCATGACCGGGCATTATTAGCTCTCAGACGCACTTGTTATCGATGCAGGAAGAGAGGTCATGAAGCTAGCGAGTGCCCTTCAGGGCAGGGGCTTCGCCAGACACGCTCCAAATCTTGATGCACCAGGGCTGCAAAGCCCAGTAGTATCTCTGCGGGGGACAGGACTGCAGCATCTGTAGAGTCAGCATCCGTGTTGTCTTTTGCTTCATGTTCCTATGCTTCAGTTCAAGGGGCGGGAATCAATTAGTACTCATTAGCCTCCCTTTTTGACTCACTAGCTGCGCGAGCTTGTACTGAAGGTGTTGCGCATGCTGAGCACTCGCAAGAGATTGCTTCTCAAAATTCTGCATATCCCGAAAAATCGGTTTCCCTTCACTTACATTTTTTACTATAGGCATTGAAAGACGTAAATGGCAGCTTACAGGAAGAAGTTCTTTGGCATCATCGCCGTGTTTCGTAGCTCCTCATCATTTTGGTATCGCTCCGCTTCAAGCTATACTCCAAGCTGTAAAAGAGTCTCTCTGCGTTTGCGCCTCTGGCTAGCCAGTTCATTTATGTCCCATTTTGAAGCTTCTTAAAAGCATGCAAAATATCTGGCAGAAATTGAATGTCTCTCAACTTTTGGGGGACATTATTTTTCGGCTTTGCCGGAACTTGATGCTCCTGCCTTCGCCATCCTACAGAGCTACCCAGGCCAATCTCTGATGTTCGCCACAATGAGGACAAAGCTCTCGCCGTGTATCATTCAGAATTTTATTGAGCACTGCTTGTCGAGCCCGCAGCTATTGTTTCCAGTAAAGTTGCGACAACAGGACGTGCTAAGCACAGTTTCATCATCTACAGTTTTTCCAACTACACTGCTACACTCATTGCCCAATCAGGACTGGTGGGCTTGCTGATTATGCAACGCCGCAGCACGATTAGCCCGACAGCAAAGGCTTTAAAGGCTGTTAGCAGCTTGGCAGGACTGCCTGGGTTGATTTGGTATCAACGAAACTTCAAGGAAAAGCTTTGTACCTTTGCCCTCCTGGGCGGTATTGAGCTATGCAGGAGAAGGAATATTTTTTTTCCTCCTTTGCTGGCAACGCAGCGACGGCTAATGCTTGTTGCGAATAAGGCAAATTAATTTTATAACATTTCTAGTCCTTTGCTGCACCTTCCTCTATTGTGTAGATTCTGCGCAGTCTATATCTATAGTCTGAGCTCTGCGCCCTTTCTTACGCTAAGAAACATCTCCTGCTCTCTGTCCGCATCACTAGTGCCTGGTAGAATGACTTCCAGAAACTACAATGCTGCTAGCTTATCCACGCCTGCCGCCGGGTAGCTGCATCCTCTTTGTACTCCAGAATTACATGGCACTGGCATTCTCGTTAACAATACGGTGATAACTGCGCGTCAAGCAGTAATGTACCCCCTCCCCTCAAAGTGTTTTGAACAACACGAACTTTGTTTATCATATTCGCAGCTGCCTTGCTCTATTTAACATGTCTTCAAATGAACAAGTGCAGCCAGCAATGCTCTGTTGAATGCTCAGTTTCAACTTTAGTCTTAGCTTAAAGTAAGAAAATATATGGTTTTAAATGTAGTCAGTCATAGGTGATCGGTAAAGTCGCTGACACGAGTATCGGTGTTTCATGCTGGAGGCACTACCTCGACTCTGGGCGTGTTAGTTGCGCTTATATAGCACCCGTGGTATTCGGAGCCCAGCGTTTGAGTAGTCGCATGAGGCGGTGAAGAAGTTCTGAAATGAGTGGCCTACTCTCGTGTTCTAACACTGCATATGCATCGCATGCTCATGCGTTCTATTTCGTATTTTGGGTTGTCTTTTTCTTCTGTCGCATTTTCCTCACTTGTCCCTTGGTTGGATATCTCTCTTCTCTGCATAGGCAGTTTCAAGAGTCCATAAGGCTACGGAAGACTGACAAGGCTTACTAGTTACCAGCTACATGTACAGTCCAAACTCTCGGGCACACAAGAGGGCGCAAGTTGCAGTGGCTTTATCTGGAGAGACAGTCGACGAAAGCTTCTTCACCCACCTGTTGGATATACTCCACAAGCACCTGAGTGCCATTAGGTAGTATCCAGGAGCCCTGTCCATTAGGCTTATTCAGCTCAAACTCTCCTACGTAAACTGCACCGGTGGGGAGGATCCAACGTCCTCTCTTTAAGAACCCCGCAACCCACAGGCCAGAAAGTATGGATCCGTCAGACCGAAAGTGATAAGACCCCTCGCCGTGCTTTTGACCACCGAGCCACTCACCTGTTTGTACAGTTGGCAAAGCATCCAGCACAGCAAATTCATCAGAACAATCAACCACGACGAACAACGTTTGTCTTCGTTCACTCCTGAAACTTGCTGGACAGAGCCTGCTTATTTTTCTTCGCTGCCATTCGCTCAGTCACTGCCTTTCACAGTAGGCATCGTTTTCTGGAAAAAGCTTTTACAGGCAAAGCTATCATGGGGGCAAACCAAGAGGCAGCAAGCAAACTACACTAGTACCTTTGTACACATCACCGTTTGGGTATGTCATGCAGCCATAGGATTGCCGTTGTCCGCCTACAAAGTGCCCCAAGTACCTCGATTCACCAATTATGCGGGCCTCTCCTGCAACAGTAAAATTTTTCGTTAGTTGAGATACTCCCCAGCGTGTCAATTTCGCAAAGTTTCTTCATTTTAGAGTTATCCTGATGAATATGCTGGCCTCAGGTGCGAGCAGCTGTGCAAAAGATCAGTGGCGAGGCACACATCCGTCCACCGTCATGAATAATGCCTCGTGAAGCTGTTAGATTGTCAAGTGCCTGCCGAGACTGGGATTACCTCCTTCCTCAGTAAGTTCTCTTTTAACATATGTTGCGCTGCCCAACCCATTCTTTTTGTTGTTTTCGTAGGTGCCCCTGAATTGTGAGCCATCTGCAAACTGATACTCGCCTAAAGCACATGAAAAGAGCATATATGTAAACGCACATAAGAAAAGCATATATGAGGCACCCGCTTGTGCAGTGCTTATTCATTGGATCTTAGAAACTGTTGCCCCTTCATCTTTGTACTGCTTTATCTTATTTCTGCGCAGCAGGTCTTGCCTTCTCCATGCCTGATGCCGCCAACATATTCGCCTGCAAAAGTTTCAGTAGTTCCTTCCTCATCGACAAGGTAGGTCGCAATTCCGGGGCCTGTATAGCCCCTACTACTGTGTTGCCTTCCTTCAGGTGTAATGAACTCAAATTTTGGGGTCCCGAACCCATCACTCTCTCCGTCCATTTTGTTCAATAATGCGGTTCAAGACGGGGACGGAAAACTTGGTGCCTTGGACTTACGGTGCTAAATGCATTAAGCAGCAGAAGCCAAAAGGCAAGCGATAATGCATCACAATGAAAAATGCGTTTATCAGCGCTGAAGAGAAAACGTAAAATATGAACTAAGAGTAGCAGGAGATACTAAGACAGGGTTGACCACAGCGCTAAAGAGCAGCGCCGTTCTGGTCATCTTTGGTGAAAATGAGTCCAGATCGAACCAGTATTCTATGCTCTTATCCCGAGTTTTTTAAAAGAAGATACTGAAAGACCTTCTTGCTGTTCCATAACAGCCCAGTACTGCGTGCTTGGTCTGGCCCCACGAGGTCACTTACCCGGAAGGTCTCAAAATCTGAAGCAAAGGGCGAAACCATTCAAATGCATAATACTGCAAGACGCTTTAAAGAATTCTTTTTGGTAGAATCTTTATTTAGGTGGATGATTGCTCTCCTTGGAGTAGAGTGCACTGATAGTTTGTAGTATATCAAAAAGACGGGCGCAAACACACGCGATGTCATAATGAAGCTTCTCGATTTTCGGTAGACAAACCGTCCCCTCCATCTTTTCTTTTTTAAAGATGCTGACTCTACACCTTTTTTCGGCGTTTTAATTTAATTAATAAATACATTTTTCCGCCGTCAGCCCCCTTCCGTTCGTTTTCCCTAACTACTGTGCTCACCGCTGATTCTTCCGAAAGGGTGCTGCAGTAACGAATACACATTGACCAACAAATATTGTAGCGTTAGGATTTTCTATTACTTTGGTGTCTTTTTTAGCTGTACCAATTTTCTAGTGCTCCTGCGGCGGGGAGAATGGAGAGACACCGCTGGCGCCATCAATGCGCTTCCTACTTCAAGTAGCCACGGAGGCTTCAAAACTAATTCTTGTTATGGAACAAAGAGGAGAAAATACTTCTGAACCCCCGAACCGTTCTGAGGTTGACTAGGAGCAGTTGATTATGGCCTCGCCATTGAACCATCTGGTAAAAGCATGTTAGCCTCTGCCTACCCAGTGCAACTGGATAAAAATATCTTGCGAGCCATTAAAGAACTGTAACACTCATAGTAAACGAGGCTAGCATGGTTGGCTCGTGTGTTTCGGGTCCACGCACAGCAGCACCCAAACGTTTCATATCCCAGTTCTACATCAGCCCTGCAAACTGCCAAGGACCGAGATCATTTTCTGTTTGGTACGGCGCCTCTGTCCAGCCCGCATCTTCAGGAAGAGTTCTGCTGCCCCTTGCTGAGGGGAGATATTCCGCGTTGCCAGTCCTGCCTCCCTGACCCTGATTTGGAGCCGAAGCTGTTGATCCTCCAAAGATCCCAAAGGCATTTTCAGGTGCCCTGAGCAGTATTACACTGGGTTCTTCACTCTGAGGTGCAGATTGCCTGCGATTATCGCCAGCATTCCCTCCAAAGGGGTGCGGCCCTGTGTACTGACCGAGCAACTGCTGTTGTTGTTGTTGCTGTTGCTGCTTCACAGGGAGGCTGCGGTTGTTTGTTTGCTGCAGTGGCGCTTGCAGAGATACTTGCCGGTCCCCAATACTGCTTACTTGAGGCGGGTGAGCAGCTCCACTTGCCGCCAGTGCAGCATGGAAGACTGAAAGTGGGACAGACGTCGCTGTCTGTGGTGGCTCAATGGGAGTCCAGCTGCTGCATGGCGGGAAGGCTGGGCCTAACTTACTCCCACCTTCAGTGCCTCTGGGTGGATAAAACGGGGATTTGGGCTCAGGAAGCGCAAGGTCCTCTTCTGAGGGAATCGCTTCGTCGCCACCCCACGCAAGGGCAGGCAGAACTGTTCCTACCTCCCTCTCTGTGATAGACTTTGACTTCTCTCTTCCTCCAGAATTCGATTCAAAATGTGTAGGCGGCGGAGGCTGGCGTTGCGCAGCGCCCGCAGAACTTTCAGGGAACTGGTTACGGATAGGTACTGGTCCCAGAGGCCTGGTTCCCGACGTATTGGTTACTATGGGAAGGGATCTAGCGGGAGTCTGAACAGCTCCGCCGTCGATAGTATACGGCAATATCTGCTGTGGGTGCTTCTGTACCCCTGCTGGAGGCAACGCCACGCTACCAGCCTGCCCTCCATGCTGCATCAATAGTTGGGCACCGTTGAGACGCACCAAGGGGTTGTTGGCCATATTACGCACAGGCAACTGTGCAGGCGGCACACCATTTGGGGGAAGCCACCTCTGGCGTGGACTTTGAAGGGGACCATTTGCAACAGAGGCTTGCTGTTGAGCTGCAGGGCAGGTTATAGGACCGTTTGCAGGTTTGGTCGAGAAGCGCTGCAAGAACTGCTGGAATTTAGCCCTTACAGAGAATGCTCTTGGAGGAGGTGGGGGCTTGTGTAGATGATAACAACAGCCGCCTGTTCCGTGTGGTGTTGGCCATGTCAAGTTTAAACTATCAGAGTTTTGCGGAGCGTTGGACGTGGTGACACCCGATCGCTGCCCCGCCACAGCCGGATGAAGCAAGTAGTTGGCCAACTGACAGGACAGCGTGCCTGGGGGCAATTCAAGCTGTTTTTCTACCTCATCCGGAGGGGGCTTGTTGTTATGTCTAAGTACGTCGGGCAGTTGGCTTCTAGCCATAAATTCCCTGCACAGTTCGGCATGTAAAGACTGGGCAACATCTTTCGGAAGACTACAAAAGTGCTGGTTTTGTTTGTGTCGAATTGCGCTGCGACGGAAACTGATTTGCAGCTCCTAGTAGTACACGCCTCAAGGCTTACACAGCTACACACCAAGCTCTGAGGATGCCTAACCTTGCAAGTCAGTAATTAATGCTTTCGACTTATACGTTTGTGCTTGCCTGTGTGAGTACATCAAGAGGCAAAGGATGGCACGTCGCATCTCTTTAGCAGCTTCAGGACCTGTCGCAGCACTGGTCTGCGGCATGTCCACTGAGCGGATTTCAGCGTTATTTTGATGACCTCTAAGCTCATTTGTGACGGCACCATCCTCATTGGCCACACCCTCCAGGCGTGTACTGCTGCATATCTGCTCTAGTTCGTTAAAAGGTTTTGTTGAACTGTGCCGATTTGTCCGTGGACCTTGCTTCGCTACACTTCGACCAGAGTAAAATCCCTCCTTTGCAGAAGCATTATGACGTCCCCTCTTGTTGCCTTGTATACGCTCATTGTCTCTTCCTATGCTGCAACTAGGTTGTGTTCTGTGGGGCTTTCCATTTCGTACATAGTCATTTCCTGTAAAACTGTAGGAGCGACTGCTGCTTGTCCCACTGCTTTCGCCGCTTTCTGCATCGTAAGCAAGCGAATCAAAAGACGGTGTTCCGTCAACACGTTTGCATGTACGAGGATAGTACTTCGTATTCGCATAGCAGATTTGCTGTGCCCTTCATATAATACCGTGTCACTTGCAGAAGGACACTGAATTTTTGTATGCTGCATTCACGTGAACACTGCAAGACTACTGTGCGACATAAGCCATCCAAAAGGGGAGATTCGGTAGGTACATCAAAATTGGAGCACATAGGAAAGCAATCCTGCAAACTGGCACTGGATTCTACGAAGGTAGCAGTATCTAAGGCCCGCAAGCAAATCCATAAAATTGCAGTCCCAGCCTGAAGCATTTGCTAGGCAAATCTGTTTGGACAGATGAATTCGATGCAGCGAAAAGCCCGTGAAGACTGGCCAGAGCGACTTGAAGAGATGGGAGAAGGGGTATGACATTGCCGCGTAGGTTTTGAATGCTGCATAAGCAAACAATACAGGTTGGCCGAGCTTGCTCCACTGGCAAGCTTAGCACTGACGCGGGTTTCCTGGTTACTCTGACGCTGTGGCTGTTTCATGGCGCTGCCTTCATGTTGTGTTATCTCACTTTCTGTCCTGTCGTATGGGAAAAAGCTGCATCTTCGGCTTTTCTAGTCCGATTTTTCTGCGAGCGAAGTGGCGAAGGAGGGTAATACGGATAAATGTGTACAGAAGCCATAATTATGTGGGTAGTTGTGCAGGTAACCATATCGCCGAGGATGCTAAAGCTAAAGCTAGCTACAGTTTCGAGTGCAACTGCATCTATGTATTTTGTTGTCTCTCCAGTATGCGTCGGAGCTATCTATTCGTTTTTCACAACAGTGACCTTTGTGTTTCTTAAACTCGGGCTCTTTATTTCATTGAGAAGCATCAAAGCGGTGTCACGATGTTGTGGAGCCTGAGCGCACGCATTCAAACATAGCGTTGACTCGGAATTTTCGCATCGATGAAACGGAATCCTCGAGTGAAGTGCCAAGAGTGTTCTCTTGTGGTGTGATGCTTTGCTATTTAAGTATTTAGCGCAAATGCGCTGTCCTTGCCTCAATGCTGTTGAGTTGTTGCTGCAGCTCGGAGAGCTCGTCTTTGAAGGTGTCTCTGAGTGTCTGTAAAATGAACAGTATCTAGCTATCCGAAGAAGTAAATTCAGCACGGCACAAATTCTCCACTTTGGTGCTTCGCTTGTCAGAAAAAATACGAGTCAAGTAGCTTAAGGCTCAGGAGACGCTGTAACTGAATACTTTTGCCGGTTGACAAACCTTGACTGCTTTCTGAATCTCCTTCTGAACGTCTTGTTTCACTTCAGCCACTGTCTGCTGCTTATCCTCTGGCGTTGGTATAGCAGAATTCTTGGTTCCTGCCGCTGCAGCAAGAGTGCTTCCCACCTCCCCGAATGGCACAGCTCCTGTGGCGGAAACTACTGGGGCAGGATGAGAAATCGCAGTGACCGGCAGTGGCGTCTCGTTTGCTCTCAAGGCAGCAGCGCTTAGCATGCTTAACTGCTGCTGTAAAAGGTGCTGCTGTTGCTGAAGGCTTTGCTGCTGCTGCAAAAGCTGCTGTTGTTGCTTAAGCTGCTGTTGCTGTTGCTGCTCAAACATTGATAGAGGTGCTGATACGATCGCTCTGAAGGTCTCAAATGGCTGCTGAAACCCAGTCTGGCCAAGTGTTGAGAAGTGTGATGTATCAAATCGGGCAATGCCGGACTGCCGGGCATCTCCCCGATGCCTTTTATTAATATGTTTATCCAAATAGTGGGAATTAATAAATTTCTTGCCGCATTCCCCACATTGCACCAGCATTCCAACGACAATTGTTGGATTTTCAGTGCCGGAGTTACGAGCAGCTGCATCCATTCCACCGTCAGTTGCCGCCTTTAAGGGCAGTTGTGCAGACTGCTGCCTTTCTTGCTCCTGTTGAAGTTGTTGACTTGCATGGGACTGCTTTTGCTGCTGTACTTGATGATGAGAAGGCGGCATAATAAGCGTATTACTCGCTGACTGCAGGGCTTCAAAAATGGGTATCTCTTCCCTACCCGCTGTTGGCATTCCAGTCATTTTGTCTTGAGTTATCGCGAGGAATCTTGCTTTGTAGAGTAATGGGTCCGATTCACTTGTGCCGATAGAGGCAGGCTACAAGTCAAAAAGGATTTCGATTCTGTCGACACGGAGAGGCTCTTGAAGCTTGTAGACTTGTGGAGCTGTATAGCAATGAAGACGCACGAATTCCAAAAAGAGTTATTCGGCGTTGTACCATTTGCTGTAAGAATGAAAACTATTTTCAGCAACGCTAGAGGAAGTCTCTGCGTTGTGGGTAGAGCCCAAGGTCACTCGCCCGAACCGGACGACTTCGAGTCAACGAAAGATCAGGCTCCCTTAAGAGCTCGTACCGTAGAGAAATATTCTCCCATCTCAGAAATAGTGCTCCAATAAACAGCTATACTTGGAAGGACGAGAATTTTCATCTTAACCCATTGCTGGTTGAGGGGCCGCGGAGTGGATCATAAGCGTTTCCGAATGCGCACAGCTGCTGATCAGCCTACCCCCTCCACCGGATGGCACCGGAAATCACCATTCGTCTAACCAAACCAAAAATTTCAAAATAACAAAGACGAGTAAGAAGCCGCGAAGACATGCCGCATTCTACAGCATGGAAGCCGCCGTGCACCCGCATCTACACAGATTCACAGCGCAGCAATCGAATAACAGCGCGGCCTTCCCTTGAATCCAACAAGAAACATGGCTCCACCGTTAGTCAAACACAAATGATGACACGATGGCTGAATTTTTGCAATCGGCGGCGTCTCCGAGTTCGTTACCAAATACTTCAGAATACTTTATGCGGGGAGGCCCAAAATTTAGCACACTCTCTTACCACTTTCAGCCCTCCATTTTGCATCAACTGGGCTATTTTTAATGAACAAAGTCCGAAATGAGTCCTCTTCAATAACCAAGATTTCTCGGCAGCTGCAGGGAAATCTTTGCCGGGTCGCCTATTGCCCCTGCTCCTTTGTGTGTAATAGTTCTGTGTGTGATTTGCGCGCTGCTGGATGGCCCACAAATTAGTGAAGAAACACTGTCTTTGAGGAATTTTCCCAACATTCCTTGGCATACTTCATGCCATGACTGGTGGGTCTGAGTGAGCTGCTCGTATGCTTTCAATCACCTAGATGCCCTGCCATATGAGTGTCTCAATGCAGCCATTATAGCTGCTTTCGCGTAGGTGATACTGGAAAAAGTCACACATGCCACAATCTGCCTTGGCGTACAAGTATAGAGGTTCCCGGAGAGTACAATTTGCTAAGCAACTGCCGTGAATGCCTCTCCATTGGCTGGAGAGAGTCTAGTCTCTGGAATTCATTCATATCTGACTACGCCTGCCAAGAAATTCCATGGATGCGTACACTCCCTGCAACTAAATGCTAGTGAATGCAGTATTTAAATATTAATTGTCATGATACGGAGAATTGGTGTCTTCTATCCCCAGGGGAGCGAACCCCTTTACACTGCGGTATGTATCTGCACTGACCCCGTAGTAGAGACAGAAGTATCAGCGTGGAGCGCACCGTATATTGCTCAGCAGCACATTCTTAAACTATGCGGAAACTGCAAAGCGTTTTACGCCGTGAAACACAGCGGGGACACTTGCTTCCACAGCATCCCACGCCTTCTATTACAGTGTCTTGCAGAGGCCTAATCGCAGGCACATTACTTCGCAGAAGTCTCCCAGTTAGGGAGCTATCTGGAGCCCTTCCAAATACGAAACTTCAGCTATGCATACCTTTAAATTGTCAGAAATACTTGGGCTCCTGTGAGAGAAAAGCCTGCAAGTGTTTGCTCTTTTTGCGTCAACGAGGCCGTGTATCACTGTTGA